AGATGTATTTTGACCTTTTTTTTTTTTGATAACTTTTGCATGTCCTAATGATCTTATATCATTTAATTATCCAATTCCATCTTGCTGAAGCTACTTCAAAATACCTGCAGTTTATGAATAAAGTGCTTTATGCAAGAGAAGGTGCTAAGGGTATCATGGATAGGACATTTGCAGATTTTCCTTGGCAAGTTAGAGTTGAGGTGGATGGTGTCAAAATAGAAGTTCCTGAGGTATGGATGCTAGCATTTAATTAGTTACGCTTGCAAAAATATAGATAATTATGTGTTGATTGTTCGGAAGAGTTTTTCTTAAATCTTGCATATTTTTTGAGCTTTTGAAAAGGTTTTCCATTCGAAGAATGGCTACACATAATTCTCTTGGGTTTATCAGTCCAGCCTCTTTCAAACATCGGAAGCTACATGGGGGGTGTAGATCTTTGGCATAACGAGGATGATACGTATGATAATTTCAATCCGCAGTCAATGCATGATAAAGTAGTGGAGGTTGTCAGCATATCTGGGACTTGGCACCTCGGAAAACTGCAGGTAATCTAGTTCTTGATGAAGGCTAAGCTAATGCTTTAGTATAAACTTAAGACTTATATAACAAAAAAGTACCTAAAAGATATCATCTTTTTCATTTAAATACCTAAAATATTTTTTTATCAAAACAGGTACCTAAAGTATTCAATTTTTTCATCCAAGTACCTAAAGTATTCTTTAATTAGTGTCACATGTCAATTTTTTTAGAACTTAGATGGAAAAGTCTGAATAGTTTAGGTACCTATTTTGGCATAAAATACTTTAGATACCTATTTTGACCAAAAAAAATAATTTTAGATATTTATTTTGATCAAAAAATACTTTAGATAATTGAATGAAAAATAGAGTATACTTTAAGTATTTATTTGGGATATAAACTTAACATGCATTGAAGGAATGTGAAAAGGAGTTCCTTCTAGTTTGATCCAATGTCCTGAAGAACTTTGTTTTGTCCCAGCATAACGCTGGTCTGCTTTTGTTTTTTTTTTCTTTATGCTGGAGAGTAAAGCATTAAATTGCCTTTGGTCAAATTCTGGGAAGGTCCTTGCACCATGTGTTTTTGAAGGATTTCATCCCTCTACTATAATTTGATCATTTCCAGTCTGACAGTCCCTCTACTTCTCAAAATGTGTATTTTCAGTCTTGAGGTTAATATTTTATTGGTAATTTTGTCAAATATTTGACTTTGCTTTTTTATTACACCTTGAAATTTTTTGTTGTACAAATGGACAAATATCCAACACATGTTTAACAAAAGTAACGGAATTAGCAGCAAAAAGGCCGGCCTTGGGACTGAAAATACACATCATGATTTTTGAGCAGAGGGACTAGAGATGATCAAATTATTGTAGAGACTAAATTCGCCCAAAAATATAGTAACAGTCCTATACGATAGGACCGATTGTCTTCCATGCAAGTTTTTGTGTTTTTAGTTCTAGAAACTCGGAATTGAAGTTTCATTGTGGAGAAGATCTGAGTTGTGCTACTTTGAGTTATAAACAGGTGGGGCTGTCTCGTGCTCGAAGACTTGCACAGGGACAGTCGATTAAGATACAACTCTTTGCCGCATTGCCTGTTCAAATCGAACCTTGGTTTCAGCAGCCTTGTACATTGTCCATTTCACATCATGGACAGGTTTGATCTATCTCTTCCTCTTGATATATTTTTTCATGTTTGCTATACCATTACAAGCAGCGGTACCTTGTTTTAATAAGTATATAATTCCGGCAGGCCTTCATGTTGAGGAGGACAGCCGAGGAACCTCTAGGTCATGCAGCCGCCGTAATGACCGATGTGCTCGAGACTGCCGAAACAAATCACGTGATTAACGCGTCTCAGAAGCGAGCCCATCTTCAAGAAATGGCATTGAGGCTGACTTAATGCTGTTCTTTTATCGCACAAAATACCAATATATCATTTCTTTTTCTCTTCTTTTGGCAAAGCTTGTTGTTGAAGCGTGTGTTTGTATACGAATCTTGTCAAAAACATTAAATACTAAAGAAGCCCTTCAGATGTAAAAAGGGTATAATTTTGGGAATAGTAGGAATTTTTAAGTGAAATTTGTACCCTATTCTACACATTCCATACAATGTAATACATTCCTCTGCTTGTTATTACTTTTATGCAGCTATGTTTTTGAAATCGGACCGAATTCGGTCTTGGACTAGAAATCGGACGTATACATTTTGTGTATTGATAAGATATTTATTATTTTTTGAAGTTCAATCTCTCTCGTCGAATCATATAATTAAGTCGTGTTAAAAGTAATAAAAATTAGTTATAAAATCTTTTTAGGTTAGACGTGTCAAATAATAAGAAATGTAATTTTTAAAATTTCTATTCATTACTTCTTAGATAAGGGAATACAATGTACATGTATACATCAAGACTAACCAATCTAACTAACAAAGCTAACTACCCGTAACTAATTACAAAAGTTAGTCTCCAACTTCTACACCCCTCTCAAGTTGGGGTAGTGAAAGATATTCTTTACCTCCAACTTGGAACATAGATAAGCATGATGTTGTGACCCTAGAGTCCTAGTCATAATATCAGCTAATTGTTCTGTTGATGAAACATATTTTGTGTGTATCAAATCCTCTTGGATCTTCTCCCGAATGAAATGGCAATCAATTTCGATATGTTTGGTTCCTCATGAAAGACGGGATTAGCTGCAATCCGAATCGGCGCTTCGCGGTCACAATACAGTTTAATTAGTTCTAAATCATCACCTCCAATCTCTGCCAGCTACCCTCTCAGCTATTCTAGTTCAACAGTTGTGACAACCATTCCTCTATATTCTACTTCAGTAGATGACCTTGCAATAATGTTTTTTTAGATTTCCAGAAAATTAAGGAACCACCAAGTTTTATGTAAACATCAATAACAGATCATCTTCCTGCCATCAAACAAGATACCCAATCCGAATCACAATAAAAAACTACTTGCTTCTCATTCGCAGCCTTGAACAACAAATCTTGCTCAGAATTTTGTTTGATGTATCTCACAATTCGCATAACAGCCTCCATATGGGTCTACTTCGACTGTTGCATAAATTGACAGAGGTGATGCACAACATATGTAATGTGAGGCCCTATATATTAGCGTTTCAATTAATCTCTGAAACATCCCTTTGTCATCTTGAAGTTTTCCTTCATCATACTCATTCGAGGTCAACTTCACATTCTGCTCTAAGGGTGTTAGCGTTGACTTTGCTCCTCCAAAATCAGTTTTTTTCTTTAATTTAACAAGAAACTTTAACCTCACCACTTCAATTCCAAAGAAGAATTCAGTTCGCCCAAAATTTTCATTACTTTTAGTCTGCAAAAATCGGGTAACAACCACATATAAACTTCTTTAGTTAAATTTCATTGCAAGAAGGCATTAAAGACATCCCTTTGACAGATAAACCAATTGAACATGGAAGAAAAAGCAAGAATGGCTCTAACAATAACCATCTTTGCGACAGGAGAGAATGTTTCAAAATAATCATTTCCATCCTTTAGGCTATATCCCTTAACTACCAAACGAGTTATGTACATTTCAACCTCGCCTATAACATTGTACATCACCTTGTACACCCATTTAAAGTCGATGGGCACCTTCCCTGGTGATAGAGAAACAATGGACCAAATATTGTTTGATTCCAAGGCACAAATATCATCCTTCGTGGCACTAATCTAAATTGGGTTTTTCAAAACCTCAGAATAGATTATAGGTTTAAAAAAAGTAGATATGACATCAATATAATAGTGTGTGTGTAAGGGTAAATGATTGTAACTAAAGGAAAAAGAAGAAACCTGACCGGTTGGTGAACATGATTGATAAGAGAAAACAAATTCTTGTAACCAAACAAGTTGTTTTTATTCACGAATTAATCTTCGAGAAACAACGAATTCTAGCAACAAAGGCTGAGGTAACTGTGCAGTCGACACATGTACTAAAAGAGTTGGCAATTCATTAGGTATTTGTAAGGGAGAAGGATCAGATAAAACAAACTGGGAAGGAGAATCAGATTGTGAATGATTAGGAGAAAGAAGCAAAAAATCAGAACTATCAACTAATGTTTGTTTTGGGAAAAAATTATTAGTGGAAGCAGAAGGAAACTGAGAAGGAAATATAAACTCATGAAAATGAACATCCGTTTGGATTTAGATTTCAAGTTGAACAACACGTAACCCTTTTTAATACTTGAATAGCCCATAAAAACAATTAGGATAGCTCTAGGGGCAAATTTATCTTTATGACTTGGAGAAGTTACATAATAGAGGCACCCAAAAATCCTAAGTGTGCAAGATTAGGATGTTTTTTTTTTTTTTTGAAAACTAGGCTGTTTATTATATAAGAGTTCGAAGGACGTTTTCCAATTTAGCACAGATTAAGACACACTCAACCTAAAATTTCATAGGAACCTTAGACTAGAACCTGAGTGCCCTAGCAACTTCGAAAAGATATTTATATTTACGCTCAACTACCTCATTTTTTCGAGAACTCTTATGAACAACACCAAGAGAATTGAAAAAAAAGAACACCTTGAATATGGTCGTACCTTTCACCAAAAAAAAAAAATCCCAAGAGACACAATTGCATCTGACTCGAGTCTCAACAAATAAACCCAAGTTACCCAGTGTAATCATCAATAATGGTGAGAAAATAACGATGAACGGAATTAGTTGATATACTCTCTAGATGTTTATTAATTGAAAAGGTTTTTCAAATTGAGACTGACTGACGAGAAAAGGAACACGACATTGTCTAGCCAAAGGAAAAATAGAGCATTCTTGTACATGTTCTTGATCAAATTTTCATGATGAAGAGAGGACAATTTATGCATTTTGGGAAGGGAGCATGCCAAACATGAGTTTAATTGATAATACCAGACTTGCATTGAAAAGAACTAGAATGTAAAGAACAATACAAGATGTTTTTCATAAAGATAAACCAAAATCATGTTCTTTCGACCGGAACAAATAGAGGCCATCAATATGTTTACTGATCCCTTTCATCCTCCTAGTGGAGATCCTGCATAATGCAAAAAATTGGGTAAAAAATGACAAAACAACCAAGGGCTGGAGTTAACTTGAATATTGAAATGAGGTTACGATTAAAATGCGGAACATGTAAAACATTTTTTTAAGATTTTATTGGGGCTTAATTGATATGAAGCAACATGGGGGACACGAGAGATTTTACCATTTGAAAGGTGAACATAACGTGGATTGATATTAAAAAGAAAAAAGTGAGATTCAATAATTTGGAATCAGACAATACATGATCTGCTGCTTCAGTATCCAAGATCCAATCAGTAGTGCCTTTAGACGAGGGACATTGAGAGACTATACATGTCATATTGATAGAAGAATAAGCAGCAGGTCTTTGTTTCAGGAGTCTCAGAATATGAGCATATTGTTCTTGTGTAAACAGTGGCGCTGCTTGAACTCCTACAGAGCTGAAAACCTCAGTCTCTAAACTCTAAGTTACTGCCATGGCTACTTGACCTTCCTCTTCTTAAACTTAAAAGTCAGTGAAAACCGATGAGACTATTAACAGTTTTCACTTTTATGACCCTTGACCTAGTAGTGATCACAAGTCCCAGAAAAAAACGAACTGTCATTGGAAAACATCACAGCAGAGTATGAATGGATTAATCCCCTCCAAATTAGTTCTTTTAGATTCTTAATATGTTTGATTCAAAGATGTCAGTGGCTGTATAAGAAGGAATTGACTTGGAATTGTTGTGTAAGACACGTTTATTCCCATAAGAAATTGAAAACGTTTCTATTGGGACAAATGTTTCAGATTTGCTCGAGTATTTTCACATTCACACGGTGCAAAAAGAATCGGTGCCCTGAATTCTTCCCATAGCGGTTTAAATTTGGTAAAGTAACCCGAGATTGAAGACTCACCTTAAACAGATGTAGCAATTTCACGACGCAAGAAGTAAATTCGTTCACTATCAACCTTGTTAAAGCGCTCCTTATAACTCCTAACCCGATCTAGATGAAATACGTCAATCTAGAGAGTCATGTTAAAGCTGGTCCCTCAAGAAATTCCTTTTCCAAAAAAAATTCGTTATAAATAATTATCCAATAAAATTCGTTATAAATGATAAATATTAGAAAACATGCCTAAATAATTTCAAAAATAATTATAATGCTCAAAGTTCCAAATACATAAATAATAAAAGTAATAAATCCCGAATAAAAATTATGGATAAATTCTGAAATAGAAAACTCAAATAAACTTCACACTATAGATTTAATCTGAAAAGCGAGAAATCACTCCAAGTATCGGATCGTCTAAAATTGAATATCTATAAAAGAAACTATAAGGGTGTAAGATATTAAGCTTAGTGCGTCTCTAAAGTGGAATCAAACAAACAATTCAAAACACATATTAACAGTCCGAGTCATAATATTCATGGTCTGAATGCAATGCAAATGTAAATGTACTCATACGCCTTACACCGTTCGAATAGAAGGTTTCCTGGAACCACTCTAACACATCATCCGAAGTGGGGTCTGCCATAAAGGTAGGAGGCCACCGAATCCGAAGTAACATTTACCATGTCGAGTGAATGCACTGAACTTTTCCTATCAATCCCAACCCAATATGACATGTTAACATACATATATTCGAAATTTAATCCGAATGTAATAAGAAGTACATAATCACATACCCGAATGTATGACATAAAATTCGAATCTGAAAAATCATGTTTCACATAACACAAATGTATGTCCAACAGATCAGCATTCAACATATAACATTTTTCGAGATTTGACATACATCAGATTTCACAAAATAATAACCGAAACATAAACTAGTCAATCACATGTCATATCACAATCAACAAAGTATACTAGACAACTAAATAATTCACAAATAAAATGCAACAACCGATAGAGACACAACTCAACAAAATAACTAATGATGGTCATAACATCTTCCATGATCAGCTCGAGTAGTGGATCGCCCCGAATTAGTTTCTACATAATAATTTAATAATAAATTAATATTCTAAATAACTAACATAGCCAAATAAACTAAAATCTCAAAATATCACTCACGGTTAACTCGAGTAATATGGGTTGGTTCAGAATTTGCAGTAATGACAGAGGGATCGGTAACTCAATTCTCAGCTCGATTTCTCCTGCAAAATTATGATATCCGATTTCATATCCCAATTCAATGTTTCTGAATGATATACAACAAAACTATGTTAAATAATATGAATTATTTAATATCCAGTTCGAAACAAGGGAAGCTATAAGTAGGGGATTTTGGTTAGAATAAGGGTCTGTTGGTTAAAAAATGGAAGCCCGGACATGCTGACTCCCCTTAATCGTCGGCGATAGGCGTTCCAACCATAACCCCAACCAAGTAAATGACATCCCACACGGATGCCATGGTGAGAAAAATACTGTTGATGGTGATAGCAACATCCTGTCGAGGGGAACACGCCGATTTTAATCGAAACCACAACAGACGACCACCAGCTTGACCGGACGACGGAGACGTAACCATGGTTTAAGATTTCCAAGCAGTCCGACGAAACTCTCGGTTTCCCTACCAAGAGAGGACGACGACCGAACGACCAAAGGATAAAAATGGTTACGAAGAGGAATCTACGATGCGGCGAATGACTTACCGGTGACCATCGAACGACAACGAGATGTTAACATGAGGGGGTGAGTGGCTCAATGAGAATAACATGGAGGAAGAAAAAAAAAAAGGAAACAGAGATTGGGGGCGCTGCTTGTGAAATAAATACAGTTGGGGTTGTATTATTAAAAAATTGAGAAAATCTTATCATATATCCATGAATTTATTAGGGTTTTTAAAAAATGAGCAGAAGCTTTGTATCCTTTACAAAATGGTTACTAAAATTACTACCAATTCAATTTAATCTTTAAAATCAATTTAGGGATTTGACTGGAAATTCTCAAATTCTAGAGTTTTTAATTTGGGGAAAATTTTGGGTGTTACAATTCTCCCTTCCTTAAAGAAAATTTTGACCTCGAATTTTACCATAATGGAAATAGAGTGAAATAAGAAAATATCCCCTGTTCCGTCTGATTCATCTCGATCTTCATATATTGAGTAACATATACCAACTCATGTTGCCTCACTGCAGATCTAGTTAAATCTCTACTCTTTCTCAGTTTACCCCTACTAATTGAACCATAACCAATAGGTCTATCATGTTCTCTATCTTTGGTTGGTGTCTAAATTAACCTTGACCTTAACTAATCGCTACATGAAACTCCTACAGAGTGGAATAATGAATTATTTATAAATGAAAAAATCCTAAGATTGAAGTTGATACTTAGACTTCCAACTCAAAACATTTATTCACCATTTTAGAAATAGGAAAAATAAAAAGAAGAAAATATATTTTTTTATTTTGTAAACCCCATTTTAACCCAAAAATATTTAAATGCATGCAAAAATCATTTTTTGTTAAAAAACTTTGTAGTTGAGTTTAACAATCTAAGGGTTGAACCTGACTTTGATAACTCTAAATATAACCCTTTAACCCGACTTAGATGAAATACGTCGAATCTAGAGAGTCATGTTGAAATATCTCCATCACGAAATCAGTGTTTGATTTAAAATTTTAAAAAGAATATCATTTAAAACTTAGAAACATTTTCCAATTTCAAGCTTTAATATTTTATTAAAAATAATTATCCGAGAGAAATCCGTTATAAGAAAAATATTTAATGAGAAAATAACCTCAGTGACCAAAAATGCCTTATAATATACGATTTTAACCAACTTTTTTTGGATTTGCCAAAATGACCAACAAAATCGCAATGCGAAATAAAAATCGCAACGCGATCTCCAGAATCGCAAATCAGTTCCCAGAATCGCAACGCGATTATGAAGAATCGCAATGCGATAGTACAAATTCGCATTGCGATTTTTCATAATCGCAACGCGAATATGAAAATCGCAACGCGATTCTGACTATCGCAACGAGTATCCGTAAAATCGCAACGAGTATCCGTAAAATCGCAACGCGTATCCGTAAATCGCAACGACAATACGTAAAATCGCAACGCGTATCCGTAAATCGTAACGAGAATACGTAAATCGCAACGCGTATATGTAAATCGCAACGAGATTACGTAAATCGCAATGCGTATCCGTAAATCGCAATGCGAATACGTAAATCGCAACACGAACACGTAAATCGCAATGCGAATCTGTAAATCGTAACGAGATTCTGACTATCGCAATACTGAATTTCAAATTCGCAACTCGTTTCTGAATTCGCAACAGGTTTTAATTTCGCAACACAAATGTTTTGGGTATATAACTACGCAGCAGCAGCAACTCATAACATAAATCCCTAAATCGTAACTCATTCCATCTCCATCTATCACTCTCTCCGGCGACATCCGTTCCTATATCCAACGACATCCTTCCCCATCCGGCAACAGGTTTTAGTTTCGCAGCTCGTTTGTTTAGTAAATTAATTTACAATAATGAAATCATCTAATGTTGATCATGTTTGGATAGATTTATGTTTTGGAGGGTCATGGGAGAATGTTCATGGTGTTTTACAATATATGCCTTTACCCATGAATCTTCAACTAAAACTGTCATTAAAAAAGTTAACTTATGAAACTCTAATGTTACGTGTTGCAAATAAATTGAATTTAGAGCCCCTAAGTGGATTTAGGCTATCTTATCAGAGAAATGATAAAGTTTATTTGTTCCCCGACAATGAAGATGTTGAACGATTCATTGCTTATATTAGTGTTTCAAGTGATGATGTTACATTGTATGTTGTTGAACCTAGAAGTAGTGAAGTTGTGTAACACCCATAACCCGTATAATTATACTTATACAGATTACGGATGTCACCCGTATTTTCTAAAACCATTTTACGATTGAAAATTTATTTTCTTAAAATAGTAAATGATATTATAAAATTATCATATCATAAAAATTACGTTTCGTTGTAACCAATTTAATTCAAAATATTTTTAATTATGAATAGTGAATAGTACCCGAATAGTGAACAGTGAACAGTGGATAGTGGGGGAATCGATTCCCTGTAGCAGGGGAATCGGTACCCCTTTAACAATCTGGAAATTTAGCTTAAAAATCGTGGTTACCGTTCATGCTACAGTAACTTCCGAAAATTTACATATAAATTCATAAAAATTAACCTTTAATCACTATAAAAATTTCCAAAATTAATTCAACAAATAAATTGAACATTTTCAAATTACATGCCACTATCTAAAATCAAATTTCACAATAAGATGTCTTACTGATATTGAAATATACCTCTCGATGCTTGATGTCGTTCTGAACTCTTTATTCTTATTCTTTGCTTTTTACCTACGCGTGAAAATCATCACGTGAGGCAATTAAAACAATATATAGTGCAATACAATTCATGCATGAATTTAGATTTCAAATCCAATGCCATAAAACCATGCTAATAGCATCTTCAATATTTTACCATGATCAAAATAATATAAAATTTCTTACCTTTCATCCCATAAGCTCATAAGCTTATTTTTACCAAAATACTTACCATTTAAATTCCATAAGCTCATAAGCTTATTATTATTTTTTTTAATATACTTGCCATTATTCCGTAAGCTCATAAGCTTATTTGCATGGTTACCATTATTAACCAATAAAACATAATCCATAGTCAATAAACCGTAGACAATGGCCCAATATAACACCCTGAGGACCCTGGGTATACGAGTAAAATACCTACACCGTAGTGCTAAACCTGCACTAAGCTTACGCCATAGTGCTAATCTGGACAATACACATAAGGTCGTGCCCACCACCTACACTAAGCTTATGCTATAGTGCTAATCCGGACATAAACATGCACTTAGTGTCCTTACACACTATAGTGCTAATATAAACCTGCAGCTGCTATACTCTATGGCATGCCAACTATACCCTGTCCCTCAATGACTTACTTTGGGCATATAGTCTATTTTATTCGATCCATCCATGGCAAAGTATATCATCAAATTTAACATTGGGCAGTTCATACCCGAAAACATTCATGGTAAAATATCACATTTCTTTTTCATGATCAATGCATTTTAATTTCATACTCTGACATCTCAATGTCAATTTATAAAAAATGATATAAAATCATGCCGATATAAACAAGGTCGACTTATCGCAAGTCTTCCTTATGATGTATAAAACATCCATGTGTAATTTCATGCATGTATTGCACTCACCTTGACACTTTATGTCTTTCAAAATATTTGTGCCTTACTATTTTCCACAATATACCCTTTTTATACTTGACTTGCTTCAATTGCAAATCAACCATGATCTGTATAAATCATCAATTCATAATAATCCATATGTTAGTATTTTACTAACATAAATACATTCCATCATATCTCCATACTATATTTGAAATTCATCATCTATCAAAATATTTAACTCTTAATAATTCCTTATAACATTGGAACCAACTTTTCCCATTTACTCAAAATGGTCTTCACCATTTTGCCTCTTAAATTCTTAATACCAATAATTCCAACATTGAAATTATTTCCATTCAAATGCTTTTACAAAAGCATAAATACATTTAAGTACCCCAACTATGCAATTGTTGTACTTAAATCACCAATCATTTCAATCTTCCCCAAATAATCAATTTCACATTTAACACTCATTTCAATTCTCAAACAACAATTCCAGCATAGTATATCAATTATACAACACTTGTACAATAACTCATCAATTTTCCAGAATTCAGACAACTCGTACTACCTTTAAAGAATCATTAAAATGTATTGATACACACACTGGAATTTAATTATGTTTTTTTCCATTGAAAACTAGACTCGAATAAGAATCTATTCATATAAAGAAATCATTCTAATTCATTCTGTACAGTTTATGGTGAATTTTCAAAGTTCACCAACAGAATCTGTTTTGTTACAGAATTCTGCTGTCCGACTTTACTGACCTTTCCTCAGCTAACAATTCATATCTATTTGTATACAACTTGAAATTGATCCCCGTTTCTTTTAAACGAAACTAGATTCATATGTGAACACAATATATAAAAATAACCTCCAAATTATTTTATATATTTTCTGGTGAATTTTCAAACCTACTATAATTCCCAAAATCTACACTGTTTTTCTTTAACCTCATCCTTATGTTCTTCATCAATTCTTACAACCTCAAAATCATCAATAATCATCATCAAGTTAACAACCATAGTATAAACCCAAATTTCCAGATTTGGGGATATTTGAATCAAGCAAGATTATCATGCAATATTGATATCAAATGATAGCGTTTTTCGCAAATAACTATTTTCTATTTTCATCATACTCATAATCCTAAAGAAATTTCCTGAAAAATGAGTTGAAGATTTCTCACCCTTTGAAGAAGCCCACGTCTGGTTTGAAGAAGAAGAAAGCAAATTTAGATGAAATTTAGGAAACATTTCATCTTAATTAACACAATATAAAATTCATTTAATTGGGATAAGACCAAATCACCCTTAATGAATCTCCAAAATCACCATAAAACCAAGCCATATGATATTACAAAGTCAAATATAATTTAATTTGACTTTGACCTACGAAAATGCCCTGAAATTTTTAAAACTTACGTTTTAGTCACTAAATTCCACAGTTTCGCTTTAATCTGAAAAATTGCACAATTCCAAACCAAATTTCTCTGATCCAAAATATTACAATAATATTT